CWMCTAYTRYWGMMSASCRGCAGYAGTAGTAGTAYTGCAATCAGCAAACTTACTAGTASTAGTAGTAGTAGTAGTCTATGATGTGTGCTGACTTATTCTKAGTAAAATACTACTACTAATATCCCATCTGTTCTTCTTCTTGTTTCAGCAGTTGTACTACTATGTTGAAACAGTGAAAGTGTGAATGTCACCAGGCTTGCAAKACGYGCCGGGTGGTGTCAGGGACTAAAACAGTGTCATTACTAGGAAGCTCATGTGATGAAACTGAAGACTATTGTTACTATGATGATGAATCAACAGCTGGAAGCATTCAAATGGTAAAAGGAACAGCTGCTCRTGATGGAGCTGGCAGACTCAGTAACAGGAACATGATGAATGCAGAACTGTTGAAGAAGTTGAAGGGATCTTGTCAAAGARSRACAGGATCCAGTTGAAGCTCTAGAAGGGAARATGAGTGGAAGCAGTGAATGAGTGTGAGAGGARTGATTTCCRGCATGAGAGCCATGATTRTTAGAGCTGGRAGGAGAGCTCATATTTCAATGATCAATGATCTAGGAATAGAGAATAAGATAGAGAACACTTTATTTGACTCAAAACAGTATCCCCAATTCAACCATCTCAACATAYTATTCTTTGCAAGAAAAAATTATTATCTTAGATTTTCACTTCAATAAGTTCATMTAACTAGTAAAACCTCAATACAAAGATTTGAGAAACKTGACAACAGAAACTGAAGCTCTGCTGGTCTCGCGTCATATTACCTTCTTCATKRYGCGCACCATTYCATGTATGGTCATTGTGATCGTGATCTTTGTTTTTCTACAGAGAAAGTAGAAGATTGACATTCTTGTAAGTTCTAGAAATATTTTAAAAGCTAGGTCCACACAGTTGACAATATGATAGCAACTGCCAGCTCTTTTAGAAACAAGTTTGTTCGTTATAGAGGAAGTCATCATGCATTGATGAACCTCTGTCAAGGTTATGACGATTCATGGATGAGTTTGGTAAATGAACCAATGCTTCCGTCGGAACCACGCCTACCGTCCATCGACTGCTATCGTCAGGAGCTACGGTATAGTTCTTCAGACCATCTACCAGCTTTGACTTGACCACTTCGTTATCTTCGATGTCCTCTGGCGGAACCCCCCAAGGATTTTTGCAGAAGAATAAATACTCGGCACGACTGTTTGCCTCTTCTTTAGTCTTCCACACCGAGTCGAATTCCTTCGTTGGTTCTCCCTCGTAAGAGTGCCGTCCATCGTAATCATATCCATCCGAACACCATACTGTAAATTTCAATCCGGATTCTGCATCGAGATGTTTACCTTTAACTTTGGTTATTGTGTTCTTGAAGCGAAGGTTTGAATCCCACCTTTGTGCACGTTGCTCTTCCCTCTCCTGAATCCTGCGCRTTTCTTCTTCTCGCTCCCGTTGGCGCTTTTTTCGAATCTTTTCTTTTTCTGATTCGCTTCTATTTTCTTCATCGAAACACTTTTGGCAAATATCAAAGTCGCATTTTTCGCAGGTGTATATGGCAGTGCTTGATCTACCAACAACAAAAAAGTGCCTTTCTCTTTTTTGATAACATAGATCGCATTCTCCGTCTCTTGCAT